TGCTCATCAGTGGCTACTTAATCCTGTACTTTAAAAGCTGTCTTGACGATAGGCGGCCGACCCCGTCACTCGTGCGCGCTGGAAGCTGGGTGATTTTGGTGGCCAGCGGTCTGATACCGACGTTCAGCGGCACCACTTTGATCCCGCGTCTGTTTCTTATAGCCTTGTCGTTGTTTCTGCCTTTCAGCTTGATGAGTGTCAACTACGAGCCGATGTTCTACGTTGCTTACGCACTGCTGCTGTTCGTGTGGCTGTGCATCGAACGTGAGCTCGACGGACAGAGCACGCCGCTGGATATGGTCAGTCTGACGGACTGCAAGAAAGTTCACGACCAGCACTTCACGTTCTCGCAGATGCGCCGTGCCGCGTTCTACGTCTTCTTCCTGCTGCTCGGATTTTTCGGTAAGCGTCCATATCATTTTCATAATCTGCAATTGACAGTAAAGTTGATAATCAGGCACCGGAAATTTGGCCAGCATCAATAGCTTCGACCCTAGCTCGTTCCTGATCTTCATTAGTGTCTTTAACCCGTTCGTTATGGCGGCTCTGGTTCTCGTCAAAGTAATGATACCGGTGTTGCTGGCGACCTGCGCGCTGTGTGGACTTCACGCCGTCGTGGTCTGCGACATCGAAATGATCTACTGGCTGATCGTGGGCATCTCTGACTTTTTAACACTGGTATAACCCTGCTGATTTGTTTCTGTTGTAGCATAAGTATGCTTCAGTTTATCGTTTAGCATTTCTTCTTCTTGCTTCGCGACAGCGGCAGTTGGCTGGACATCGGTATAAGTATTAGCCATTTCCTGATGTCAATGGTGATCATTTTGATTGTAATGACTGTTCATCGGTTAGCAACGCTTCTCTGTACCACGAAGCTTGGCGTTTCGAAACATCACCTGCTGTAATTAGTTTGTTCGTCATGGAAATGACAGTCGACATGAGGTGCGCATCTGTCTGAATCACGTGGCGAACGTCCAAACTACCCAGCACTACGAGGATTTAGATACGGCATATCGCGTGGTGGTACGCGGAATATGTGAAGTCAAACCCATAGCCTTCATGTGCCTTTATTGAGGCTGGTTTAAAATTGAAAACAGCTGTGTGACCAGAAATAGAGCTAAACGTTCTACTCGCGTACTTGACAAGGCAAGGTAGAACACAGTGCAGCGGTAAATAGATAATGAGCATGTGCGTGTTGATGGTTGAAACGTCAAATCATGTATGTAGTCACGTGATAATAAAAGCGTGAAAATTGCAAAAAAAGTTACAAATATGCGAGGCTCATCAGCGTCATAACGCGAAAAACATTGTTCGCCGTACACAGCTGAGTTGAAGTCCCGTCTTTGAATTATCGTTCCAAATGTGAAACGCCGTAGGAACTGTGAATAATGAAATACCTTTTTTTATTAACGAAAATGCATATAGTTTTGACGAAGATTTTGGATCTAATGGCTTTGAGCGCACGCACTCGAAGCTCGACATAATATGACTAATCTATTTCATAAAGATCTTAAACAAAAAAATCTAGATTTACTAAGGAAAGACAGTTTTCACTGCTGCCGGCAGGAATAATATTTACTGAAGATGCGCTGGGATTGTGTTCAAGCAGTGACGCAGTGGATAAAAGTTTCATTGCAATGTCAGTGTACTGGGTTCGAATTCGATTTCAAGGTTTCTTATTAACCGGTAATTCCAAAGACCAAAGGGTTTGCTGCACTGTGCTGCGGTACAATCAGCCGAGAAACAAATAGCATGTCAATGGCCTGTGAACAATCGAAACAGCGCGAAGTTCTGTCCTGCTCATGCCGGAGTGGAAGGAGACAACCATGTTACACGATTCGCGCGTCTTCTAAGCGCAGTTCGTCTTGATCATTTTTGTAGCTGATTCATGGCGCAGACTGTAAATAAAAAATTTATATACATGTCAGTTTTATGGAATTACATGTATAATCGTACCAATCCCTGCTTTGAGAAGTATAGAGGCCATTTTATGTAGGCTATGGCTCGATTATGTAGCACCTCTAGGTATGGACGCAAAATCGCGCCACTGTGTTCCCTTGAGCGACAACCTTAATGAAACGAACGAACGAACGTAGTTTCATCCTTAAGTATCTACACATCG